TGCCATTCCATCCCACTGCCATTTCATCCCGCTGCCATCCATCCCGCTGCCATCCATCCCGCTGCCATTCCATCCCACTGCCATCCATCCCACTGCCATTCCATCCCGCTGCCATCCATCCCACTGCCATTCCATCCCACTGCCATTTCATCCCGCTGCCATCCATCCCGCTGCCATCCATCCCACTGCCATCCATCCCACTGCCATTCCATCCCACTGCCATTCCATCCCGCTGCCATCCATCCCACTGCCATTCCATCCCACTGCCATTTCATCCCACTGCCATCCATCCCACTGCCATTCCATCCCACTGCCATCCATTCCGCTGCCATCCATCCCACTGCCATCCATCCCGCTGCCATTCCATCCCGCTGCCATCCATCCCACTGCCATTTCATCCCGCTGCCATTCCATCCTGCTGCCATCCATCCTGCTGCCATTCCATCCCACTGCTGGGAGCTCTGAGAAGGAGAGGGTCTCTCACCACACCACATGGCAGCAGGGCTGAGGGAAGGGGACAGTTCCAGGCGGGCTGTGCTGTCCCCAGAGCAGAGCTGGCAGCCCCGCGCTGTTTCTGTCGAGCAGTGCTGTGCCAGGGGTGTTGTTGCAGCCCAGTGAAAGGGAGCAGATGGAGCAGCTCTGAAATCACTCATGCACCCGAGCCCTGGTGAACCCATGGTGCTTTTATCCCTCACATTCTGCAGCAGCTCAAAGTTGCCAAACCTTTTGGCAGGCGGTTGGAGCGCACCCTCTAGAGGAGCCTGGCTGGGGTGATTTGTCTGCACTCCATGTTTGGGGCCACATGGCCCATCCCAGCGCTCCGGGCTCCACCTGCAGCCCCATTTGTGGCACAGGCTGGCTCCCAGTGCACAAACAGCTGCAGGAACCCATGCCGGTGTTTCTGTAGCACCCAGAGGTATAAGAGGCCACCTCATCCCACCCAATGACCCTAATGCTGTTTGATCTTCCCCCTCAGAGGATGGGATCGTGATCAAGACGGAAGAGGAGGAGGAGGAGGAGGAGGAGGAGGATGACCCCGACACGCTGGAGCCGTGCGCCATGTTCTCGGGCCGGAGCGAGGCGCCGGCGTTCCCCAGCCACGAGGCCGGGCTGGGCTGCGAGGCGCAGTGCAGCTCCAAGGCGCAGCCCCGCAGCCTGGCCCGCGTCAGGAAGCCGTCGGCCTGCGAGAGGGACTCCGGGGACGTGAAGCCGGCCAGCGGGCAGCAGCGGAACCGGACGCGGGAGAGACCCTACATCTGCCCCGAGTGCGGCAAGAGCTTCATGCTCAAGATCAACTTCATGATCCACCAGCGCAACCACCTCAAGGAAGGGCCCTACGAGTGCCACGAGTGCGACCTCAGCTTCCGCAACAAGCAGCAGTTCCTGCTGCACCAGCGCAGCCACACGCGCCGCGGCGTGGGGGTCCCGCGGCGCCCCGAGCACGGCCTCAAGCCCCCATCGCGGCCCCCGCCCCCGGGGAAGCCCTACAAGTGCTCCGAGTGCGAGAGCAGCTTCAGCCACAAGTCGAGCCTCAGCAAACACCAGATCACCCACGTCGGGGAGCGGCCCTTCACCTGCGGCGAGTGCCGGAGGAGCTTCCGCCTGCAGATCAGCCTGCTCATGCACCAGAGGATCCACGCGGGCAAGAACGAGATGGCCTTCCTGTGCCCCCAGTGCGGCAAGAACTTCACCCGGCCCTCCCACCTGCTGCGGCACCAGCGGACTCACACCGGCGAGCGGCCCTACCAGTGCAGCCAGTGCGAGAAGACCTTCAGCGAGAAGTCCAAGCTCACCAACCATTACCGCATCCACACGCGGGAGCGCCCGCACGCCTGCGCCGTCTGCGGGAAGGGCTTCATCCGCAAGCACCACCTCCTGGAGCACCAGCGCATCCACACGGGCGAGCGGCCCTACCACTGCACCGAGTGCGGCAAGAACTTCACGCAGAAGCATCACCTCCTGGAGCACCAGCGGGCGCACACCGGCGAGCGGCCCTACCCCTGCACCGAGTGCACCAAGTGCTTCCGCTACAAGCAGTCGCTCAAGTACCACCTGAGGACGCACATGGGAGAGTGAGGGGCTGCCGAGGCTTCCTCTCCCTCCCTCCCTCCATCCCTCCCTTCCTCCTCGTCCTCCTTCTCCTCCACTGATCTCTCCCACCCTCCCTCCATCCATCTCCCCCCACCCCGGCTCAGGGCATGGACATCAAGGAAGCTTTGTGTGGTAGCGCCGCTGGTCTGGTGGAGACTCGGCTGATTGGAAATAAATTAATGAATTAAAGCAAGCAACGCGCGGCAAAATTAAAAGATTATATATATAAAAAAAAATAACAGAAGCAGCTGATTTAAGGGGAATCCTCACCAACAAGCAAACAAACCACCAACAAAAGAAACCTGTACACAGGGTGTTTTGCCGGAGTAGGACTCGTAACTGCTTTTTAAATCTACTGTTTGGTTTTTTTTAATAAATGTGGAGGAACTTTTTATTTGATAAGCAACCTAAGGATGGGCAAGATTTTATTTTCGGGTTTGTTTTCTGTTTGTTTGGTTTGGTTTGTTTTTTTTTTTTGTTAACTGCTCTGTAGGCTGATTCTGGCACAGTCACTTTTTGTCCAGGAGCTCTGTGGAGGCGCTGCTCCGGTCCGGGCTGGATGCGACAGGAGGAGCTCCAGCCGGGGGGAGGTGAGTAATTAACAGATGCAGCTGATGAGGAAGTTCTGCGTGTGTCTAGATTGGAAGCGCTGATAGGTGCCTGCCCGGCTCGCGGGGCTGTGATGCACTCCTGAATTATACAATAGAATAAAATTCTAGTTGCAGTAAAAGACCCTTTTTCTGGTAGGACCCCTCCACAAGGCTCCCCCAAACATTCATTCCCAGCGCTCAATCCTCCCACCGGGGCTGGCCCTGCTGCCCCCGAGGGCATGGGGTGCTGTGAGTCTGGCCATTGCCTGCTGTGGGGCCAGCAGGGACTGAGAGCAAGACCTTGTTGTGTTTGACTGCTCTGCTGTCCTTGAGCCGCTGCCGGGGGCATGGACCGTGCCCTCCTCAACGGCAGGAGCGGTGGGATTCCTGCCCGGGGGAGGAGCAGCTCCAGGCTGGCTCCAAGGAAAGGCCTCCCTGCTCCTGGGCACCTGCTGCCGGGGTGGGTGGGACACGATCCAGCCCCCTGCTGTTGGTCTGAGCTCCAGTTTGTACCAGCTCAGTTCCTGGGGATCCCAGCTCGTCCTGGCTGCAGCTCCTGAGCTTGGGCTGTGGCTGGGGGAGAGCCATCCGAAGGGCTGGGGCTGGGCTGGTGACACCAACTGAAGCTGGGCTGGTGACACCAACTGAGCTTGGGCTGGTGACACCAGCTCCCCGGAGCGCACCGGGCTCCTTCCTGGTGCTGTCAGATCTCATGTTGGACGGTGGCATCAATAAACACAGAGATGATGGGAGAAGTTCTCAGGACCTGTTAATGCCTTTGCAGAACCAAAGTCCTCATCGAGGACCTGGTGTATGAACCCTCCTAAGTTGGGATTTTCGACCTCTACGGTGCTAGAATGTGCCAGAGGGCAGCGCAGCCACATGGAGCTGCTGGGAGCCACCAGCTGCTCATTGCTGTGGGTGGCAGCATTTTGGGGCTGCCTGGGCAGGCTGCTGCCAGGGTTCCTGCCTTCCCACTGCTGGGGTGGTGCTGCAGATCCCTGGAAGAAGTTTGGGGTTTCAGGTCAGGGCCTGCTGTCTGACAGGAGCTGACACTTCCATCTCTGGAAGTTGGCCAGGCTGGATGAGGCTTTGAGCAGCCTGGGACAGTGGAAGGTGTTCCTGCCCTTGCAGGGAGGTGGAACAAGATGAGCTTGGAGGTGCTTCCCAGGCAAACCATTCTGGGATTCCATGAAAAGTGCTGTGCTGGGGCTGATGTCCTGGCAGGGAGGTGTGGGGGCAGCACAGGAGGGCCTGGCTGCAGCCCTGTGTCCCTCAGCAGCCTCCCTGCATCCCCCTCACCAGGACTGGATGCAGGGATGGGCAAGGAGGCAATGAAAAGCAGAACTGATTCTGGTTCTCTGTGGCTCACGTCCGTCACAATGGCAGTGACAGGGACCTGGCAGAGTCCTTTTTTCTTCCTAAGAATGGATGAATTCAGCTTTTTATTGGATGCAGGCCGGAGCCCTCGTGGCAGGAGCAGCCGGGCCTTGGGGGCATTTCGGGCGAGCGGGCCGGGCCGGCAGCGCAGGGAGGCAGCGCAGGATCAGCCCGGGCTCCCTCAGGGCGCAGCTGCCGCCCCGACACAATCCCTTCAAAGCGCCCTGAGGCAGCCCGGCTGGCCGGGAGCGGCTCCGCCCAGAGCCGGGCCTCGGGAAGGATCGCGGGGCACGGCCTGGGGAAGGGGCTCCGCTCCCAGCTCCGACCGCCGTCGGGGCCGGGCCGGAGCGAAGCTGCCAGTCCCGTGACAGGTTATTACGATTCAACTGATTTAAGCATCCCCAGCATCCGCGGGTGCTGGCAGCACCGTGCCGGCTGTGCCCCGGGGGAAGGCCCACACTCGCACACACACTTACCCTCAAACTAACACTTGCACTGACACTCACACTCTCAGTCATGCTCACACTCAAACCCACCCCAGCCCTCCCTTTCCGCGGCCTCTGCTGCGGCCCCGCTCCCGTGGCCTGCAGACACGGGCACACGCAGCACACGCAGCGCGCACAGCGGCCCTGTGCCCGTGTCCCCCCGGGGTTTTCCTGCTCCTTCCTCCCCTGTTTGCACACACGCACACGGACACGGAGACGCGTGTGAGTAATGTTAGAAGCAGGCACAGGAATCTGCCCAGGGAGAGAAGGGGACATTCCCAGGCACAGAGCCACAGACACACAGACACACACACGCACACACACACATAAACACACCCCCACATCCGAGCGCCCCTTGCCGCCCCCAGCCCAGCCCGTTCCCGTCGTGCCCAGGCACGCCCCCGCCGCGGTCGCGGGTCCGGCCCCTTCCGTCCGTTTCCCGCCCTTTGCGGCCATGGCTCAGGAGGCGCTGGCTGTGCACGAGCGCCTCTTGTTCCAGGCCACCTGCCCGTTGTGCCTGGATGTGTTCGAGCACCCCGTGGTCACGGCGTGCGGGCACAGCTTCTGCGGGCAGTGCCTGGCGGCCGTACTGGGGGACCCCCCGCGCCCCGCCGCCTGCCCGCAGTGCCGCGCCCCGCTGGAGCCGGGCTCGCAGTACCCCAACCGCTCTGTGGGCGAACTGGCGGAGTTGGTCCGGTCCCTGGAGGAGGAGGCGGCGCGGCCGCGGTGCCCCCAGCACGGCAAGGCCCTGGCGCTGTTCTGCGAGCCCTGCGCCGCCCTGCTCTGCGCGCCCTGCCGGGACGGGCCCGAGCACCGCGGGCACCGTGTCCGCCCCGCCAAAGTGGCCGCCCGGGAGCTGCAGGTATGGGGCGGCGCCGCGAGAGGGGCCGGGGGCTTGGGCAGGGGCTGGGGGTCTTGGCTGCCCGGGCTGGGGCGGCCGAGGGGCACAGCTCAGGCTCCCCTCCGGCCACAGGCGGGGATCCCCTGCAGCAGGGGCTGGGCTCCCTCGGGGACAGCCTGGGCTCCCCTGTGGGCACAGCTCCGTGTCCTGTCCGGGCACACGTCTGGGCTCCCTTCAGGGACAGCCTGGGCTCTGCTCTGGCCATGAGCTCCTCTGCCTGTGGCTCTGGGTGCCCTCCGTGCGCGGCTGGGGCTGCTCCGAGCAGGGTCTGGGCTTCCCTCAGGGCACGGCTCTGCTTCCCCTCCACACACAGCTTCGGCCGTGTCCCCGGCCAGCCACGGAGCTGCGGCCTCAGCCGGCGGCTGCCCGGGCTCCGTGTCTGGCTGCCGGCTTGGGCTGCTGTAGCCACCCTGCTGGGGCTGCTGCTTCTGCCATGGCCTGGCCCCAGCCCACGCAGGAGCCCAGGTCCCTCTCCCTGCTCACCCCTCGGGGTCCCCACATGGTCCCTTGTGCCCCACATGTCCCCAGCCGGGCTTTCTCCCCACAGTGTGGGCTGGGGTCTGGGCTCACTGCAACGCAGGAGATGCCTCAGAGCCGGAGGAGTTTGCTAATGGTCCAGCAAATTTATGGGGTGTGCCTGAGTGCCTGCTACTGGCACTGCAAACCTCTTCCCAGAAATCACACTTCCAATGTCAAAAGTTGTTTTTTCTAATTAAAAAACAATTTAAACAAACACAGACTAAAGGGTTTCCACATGAAGTTATTCCAGAAATGTTTCTGGCTATAAGAGCTGGTGATCAGGATCTCCCCAGCCTAACTAAAGTGACTTTGGTGAGGTGGTTTCTGCCTCTGAGCTTAAAATTCAATCACAGACCCACAAGGGTCACCCACAGTGACTCCCCAGGTTGGGATGTTCCCCACAGGGGTTGTTTGGTGATATCATCTCCCTCCTGTGAATGCCACTCCAAAGTTAACAGAAATGCCATTTGTTTAATCCCTGCCCCAGGAGACATTCCAGACAAACCTGCTTACTTTACAAGAACAGAAGAAAAAATTGAATCACAGAGGAGACCAGAAAAGTGAAGACCTTCAGGTGTGTGTTCCTCTCCATGTCCCCCACTGCTCACCCATGTGGCTCCCCAGGAATGTCCCACCTTTCCCTCTCCCCATATATCCTTATCTCCTAATCCATGCCAACGTTCTTTTCTCTGCCCATCTCATGTGGCCTCCTTGGGCCCATCAACATCCAGACTTGCCCCCCCTGTCTCTGTTCTTCCTGCTGTTCCTGTTGCAAACCTCTGGTCCCGTTGTATGTGATCCTTGTCCCCTCTCTGCAGCAGCCGTGTCCCTGCGGGGGCAGCCGGAGCCTGGCTGGGCTCAGGGCCTCCGTGCGGTGCCTTGCAGGTGACAGTGAGGTCGGAGCTGCAGCGAGTGGCTGAGAGCTTTGAGGAGCTGCAGCAGTGCCTGGAGGAGCAGAAGGAGACCCTGCTGGCCCAGCTGGTGCAGATGTCCCATAAGCTGGACAGTAAGAGCGGGGAATACACGCGCAGGGTTTTGGAGAGGCAGTCGCTGCTGGACACAGTGATTGCGCAGATCCAGGAGAAGCGGGAGCAGCCGGCGGTCGAGTTCCTCAAGGTGAGGCAGCATCAGCCCCTGGGCACTGTGAGCCCTGCTGGGGCTGGGGACACCCAGCTGGCACCCTCTGCACGCTGGTGCAGGCTGGGGCCATGGTGGGACACTGTGACACTGTGCTGTGACATTGTGCTGTGACACTGTGCTGTGACACTGTGCTGTGCCCGCTATGACACTGTGACATTGTACTGTGATGTCGTGGCGGGCCATTTGTCTCGGTGCAGGGAAACTCAGGACCTTCAATATGAGTTTTTAGCAAGCTCTGTTTATTGAAGAGAACATCAAACTTTTATGTACAAGGAATAAGCTGATGGGTATTCTGTAAGCCAGCAGTCTATTGCTTATATACAGATATCAGCTTCCTCATTCTAAAGGAGTTACATTTGCTTTTTCTCATGTCTCTAGTCTCTCAGCTACAGCACCCTGTTATGGTAACACACCTATTCACAAGAAAGTGTCCTTTCATGTGCAGCAGTTAGATTAGCTGGGTTCTTGTCACGTAGCTATTTCTCCACACTGTGACACCGTGCTGTGACACCGCGCTGTGCCCGCTGTGGGTCAGGGCCCTGAGGGAAGGCAGGGTTGGGATGAGGTGTGGGCTCAGCCCCAGCCCCCTTAAGCTGCTTCACACAGCTGGGGAGCCACTGCAGCTGCCTGGCCCTCGGCAGTGCCACAGCTCTCCTGTGTTTTCTCTCTTGCAGGATGTCGGCACAATCCTGAGCAGGTATGAAACAGGCTCGCTGTCCCTCTCCTCCTGCTCAGCTCCTTTGGGCAGAGCTTTGGCAGCGCTGCAGGAGCCGCCAGGGAGGTGGTTTGCCCCGCTGGGGATTTGGCATTCCATGGGATGTTACCAGGGACCAGAGGCCACTGCAGCCCTCCTAAAGATGGGCTTCCTGTGCTGATAGCAGGGACACAGCTGCCCTGGGCTCTGGGGCTGCAGGGATTTCCCTGTTTCCCTGCTGGCGCTGGCTGGTGGCTGGGCTCTGAGCTCCTCTCCCTGTTCCCCTCAGCTGTGAGGCAGCCAAGGCCCCGATCCCAGAGCCAGTTTCCCCAGAGCTGCAGAGGAGCATTCAGAACAGCCAACAACTCATGGACATGGTGGATAAATTCAGAGGTAAAGCCCTGCTGGCTCTGTGCTGTGCTTCCCCTGGGCTTGGCTGGCAGTGGGAAATCCTCACTGCCTGCTGCCTCTGCCTGGGGCTCAGGAGCAAAACGGCTGCTCCAGACGGGAACCCTGCCCAGGATGGGCTTTGCTGGAGCCTGGGGCTCCACATCTGGCTTGCTGCCCTGCTGGGGGGCAGGACAGGTGCCACAGGAGAGACACTCATGCATCTTCCTTTCGTTCTTCCAATGAACCTGCGGGGTGAGATAGACTGGGGCAGAAGGGGTAAGTTTGTGGAGCTGCTGAGCACAACAGAGTGGGAAAATCTTTCCAGGATGAGTGTCCTCATGTCCTTGGTGCAGAGATGGGCTCACAGCACATCTAAACCCAGCATCTGTCTAGAGCTGAGTGCTGTTGTTTTGACTAGGGCTGCTATACAATCCAGGTCTGTCCCTGTGCCAGGCAGCACCAGGGATGCTGTCCTGCGACGCCAGGCCAGGGCCAGGACAGCAGGAGGCCGTGTCAGGCTGTGCCCAGTTCAGCACAGGGGCTGTACCTGATTTTAGCTGGCATTTAGGTGTGGTCAGAAGTGCTTCTGCAGGTGCTCAGGGCCCCCATGATGCAGCATTGCTGGGCTGAGCTGTGGCTGGCACCATTTGTGCTGAGGCCGCTCTCCACACTCTCCGTTTTTGGGATGATGCACTTGAGCACAGCAGAGTCGTGCCTCAGTTTCCCCCCTGCAGTCCCCAGAGGAGTGGGTTGGGCAGAGGGTCAGGGCTGGTGACACCGCACAGTGACAGCTGTGTGGCCTTGTGGCACGGCCACGGGATGGCAGCAGAACATCCCTGGTGGATGGGCAGCTGGGGCTCTGCAGCTTTGAGGCTGCCTGCTGGCTGGGCAGAGCAGGCTCCGAGCTGGGGGAGCCCTTGGCACAGGAGCAGGGACTGGCCTGGCCCCTCGTGCCTTGCAGCACTGCCTGCTCACAGCCACGGCATGCCCTGCTCCCCACGGGCTGCACTCTCCAGCAGCTCTGGGAGCAGCTTGAGCAAAGCCCATCGTGTCTGTCCCCTGCCTGTGGGGACACTGCCTGCCTCAGTCCTGCCTCAGGGAGCAGCTTTTCACCCTCGGGTGCCAGCGTGGGCACAGTGAGGCTCCCGTGTCCCATGCCAGCCGAGGGGGCTGCAGGAGTGCCCCTGGTGCTCCCAGGACAGGAGCCAGCCCCGTGGTGCAGGCTGGAGGAGAGCTGCTGGTTCTGTTCTCAGAAGGCACAGACTGATGTTTCTGTCCCCCTCTAGAGCAGGTGACGCTGGACCCAGACACAGCGCATCCTCACCCGATCCTCTCAAAGAAACGCAAAATGCTCCAGTTCAGAAATGAAGAACAAAACCTCCCTGACAACCCCAAGAGGTTCAAATTGAGCCGCTGTGTCCTCGGCTCCCAGGGGTTCACATCTGGGAGGCATTACTGGGAGGTGGAGGTCGGGGAAGAGGGCAGCTGGGCAGTGGGGGTGGCCCTGGAGTCCGTGCCCAGGAAGACGTGGATCAACCTGCGCAGCTCTGAGATGGTCTGGGGACTGCGAATGACGTTCAATGGCCAGTACAGAACAGGCTGCATGACCACTGAGGTGCTGGAGCTCAGGGAAAAACTCCAGAGGATCAGGGTTCACCTAGAATACGAAGCGGGCCTAGTGACCTTCTACAACGCAGAGGACATGACACTGATCCAGCAGTTGGAGGCCACCTTCACTGAGAAAGTCTTCCCGTATTTTTGCATCTCCTCCCTAGTAACCCACATCCGGGTGTGTCACTGACGGGGTGGGATGGCTGCCGGGCCCCTCTTGCATTGCCCTAAATTGTTGATTGTTCTTTCACCCTAGGTTATTAGAAATTTGCACTGAATAGTCTCTATACTGCACTGAATAGTTTATGTAATATCACATGGTTTGTTCTTCCCCTCTCCTACCACATGGATTTCCTTCACCCACCCCTCTCCCCAGTACCCTCCCCTGGTCTCTGCCCTGCTTTACCCCTCCTCACTGGTGTCCCATGGGCTGTGCTCCTTGTCCTCTGCACCCCAATTCCCGGGTTAAAAGGCTCCCACCATGAGGCAACAGTCTCTTTCCCACCTTGGAAATGAACGTGCCACGTTGGTCTCTGCATGGAGAAGAGCGCTTCTGGACTGTTGCTTTCGTCCTTGTGAGATGGAGTGGGCTGGGGTCCATGGCTAGCTGGAATGCACCCAAACAGCCCGTCCAGACACGGATTCTTACAGGGCCTGCCCGTGCCCTTGGCTGGCTGAGCAGGGAGGAGCTGTGGCAATGACACGGCATCACTCTGCAGCCTCCCTGCAGCTCTGCCTGCCCTGGACCCTCTCTGCAATTTTCTGCATCTCCTCCCTCCCAGTCCTTTGGAGCATTGAAGAAGTGCTGTCCTGCCTGGGGCTGTCTGCGTGCTGCTGTCCTGCCTAGGGGCCATGGGGATGGTGTCCTGCCTCTGCCTGTGGGCACTGAGGCCACAGAATAATCGGGAGGGAGGAGGGAAGAGGCTCTGATTGTCCATGCCAGCCTTTGGCAGCACTGCTGGGCTGGGCTGGAGAATGCAGCCACCCCACAGTCAGGAAACCAGGCTGGAGCCCCTAGCTGATAATGTCTTGAGTTTTAGCTTTTATACTTTTTTGATTCCGTGCTTCTTTGTTGTGTAGCTTAAATTTCATGTTGAGTCTTAGCAGGTTCTCTTCTCAGAGTAGGTAGACAAAACAATCTTTTTCTGACTTGAGACCAAGGATTCAAGGTCCAGGCCCAAAAAGTATAAACAGTGAGTTGAAGAGAGAAAAACAAGGAGCATGCAACTTCATAACCTAAAGCTGTAATTTGACAAACAACTGCAATATTCAAATGGAGCAGAACTTATAAAAGCATGAGACCACACTTGTAAAACTGTGAGCGTTTGTCCATTTTGTGACCACTTTGGCTCCATCTTGCGTGTAGCCCTGGCCGGGCTCTTGTGTTGCCCAAGGTGAATCCATGGAGGCCTTGTAATAAATCCCTGCTTTATTCTTTGGGAGCCACCAGCTGCTCATTGCTGTGGGTGGCAGCATTTTGGGGCTGCCTGGTCAGGCTGCTGTCCCCATTGGTCAGGGATGGCACAGACTCCAGGTCAGGAGGCTGAGAGGCCAAAAGCCCTGCATTTAGTAAACCCCATCTATTATAAACTGGTCTGCTACAGGTGGACCTGATTCCTCATTTAATCAACTCATTGGACATGACTGGCTAATTAAGAAGACACCCCTCAGTAAATATCTTTATGAGAAAAACAACTTGGTAGAAACAGCACCTGTGGATAGTTTACCATTGGATTATCATTCTTTCTCTCTGCCTCCCTAATATTGCCAGACCAATTCATGGGAAAGCTTATCTAGCTTTCTCTCTCTCGGACCAGGCTGTCACATCCACAGGCTCCTGCCCGGGTTCCTGCCTTCCCACTGCTGGGGTGGTGCTGCAGCTCCCTGGAAGAAGTTTGGGGTTTCAGGTCAGGGCCTGCTGTCTGACAGGAGCTGACACTTCCATCTCTGGAAGTTGGCCAGGCTGGATGAGGCTTTGAGCAGCCTGGGACAGTGGAAGGTGTTCCTGCCCTTGCAGGGAGGTGGAACAAGATGAGCTTGGAGGTGCCTTGCCAGCCAAACCATTCTGGGATTCCATGAAAAGTGCTGTGCTGGGGCTGATGTCCTGGCAGGGAGGTGTGGGGGCAGCACAGGAGGGCCTGGCTGCAGCCCTGTGTCCCTCAGCAGCCTCCCTGCATCCCCCTCACCAGGACTGGATGCAGGGATGGGCAAGGAGGCAATGAAAAGCAGAACTGATTCTGGTTCTCTGAGGCTCATGTCCGTCACAATGGCAGTGACAGGGACCTGGCAGAGTCCTTTTTTCTTCCTAAGAATGGATGAGTTCCGCTTTTTATTGGCAATGAAGCAGCTGAGGTGCCTGTTGTAGCCCGGCTGTGCCCCACAGTGGCTGGGCCTTGGTGTGGCCAGGCTGGCAGTGCCCGTGCCCTGCTCTGTGTCACTGGCCCCACACAGCCGCTCCTGCCCCTCGTGCTGCTCCTCGCCCGCCACACACGGCTCTAACAGCCTCGGCCACTGGACCCTGCTGGGATTGAACAACATCCCGGTGACCTTCAGCAGCCCAAATGTCACCAATGTCTCTGCAGAGACAGCTCCCGTGCCAGTGGGACAGCACGGCCAGCGTGGCCCTGAGCGCAGGTGGCAGTGACTCTGAAATCTGTCACGGTGGAGACAATTGACAGCGATGTCTCCTGGTGGGACATAGACTCGACGGCTCCTGTCCCTGCAGCTTGGGCCATGGGTGACACTCCCCCAGCCTTCCCTGGCCTGGGTTGCTGGCAGAACTGGACACAGATGCAGCCAGAAAGCAGCTCCAGGAACAGGGGACGAGCAGGAGCCACCGCTGTCCCCAGCTGGGGCTGAGATGGGCAGTGTAGGCCCGGGCAGCAGCCCAGGGGCTCCAGATGAGTGGGGACATCAGGCTGTCACCCCGGGCTGCTGCAGGGACGCTGGGCAGGGGCTGGCAGCGCCGCCATGGCCTGTCACAGCCGCTGGCCCAGGGCCTGGGAGCCACCGGGGCAGGGAAGCTGGCGGTGGGGTGGCAGGGACACTCAGCAGGGCACGGCCATGGCAGGGCAGTAAGCGCCTGCAGAGGGATTTGTTCCACTGCCTTATCATGTCAGGGGCTGGATGGTGCCCTCCAAACTCTCCTTGGGCCCCGGCTGGCAGCACAGCAGGGTGCAGGAGGAGCAGAAGCGACGGCTGAATCCGGGGCCTTGGTTTTGGGCACCCAGCAGCCTCCGGCGCTGAGCCCAGGGCAGCAGCACAGAAGGGCCAATGTGGGCCCAGCAGGCCGAGAAGCACCAGGCAGCTCGAGGGGCTCTGCTTCCCTCAGCGCTGCTGCTGCTGCTGCTGCTGTGCGGGTGCTTTGGAGCGGGCTGAGGGTGCAGGAGGCACCGGGAGAGGCGCCGGAGCCGTGCGCTGCGGGGATGGAGGCCGGAGCCCTCGTGGCAGGAGCAGCCGGGCCTTGGGGGCATTTCGGGCGAGCGGGCCGGGCCGGCAGCGCAGGGAGGCAGCGCAGGATCAGCCCGGGCTCTCTCAGGGCGCAGCTGCCGCCCCGACACAATCCCTTCAAAGCGCCCTGAGGCAGCCCGGCTGGCTGGGAGCGGCTCTGCCCAGAGCCGGGCCTCGGGAAGGATCGCAGCGTGTCCTGGTTTAGGGCAATTCTGGGAGAAAAACCTTTCAAGGGTTTTCCTCTGAAAAGCAAATTCAAGCGGCCCCTCCGTGATCTGGTTCAGAAAAACATTTCCGTGGAGAGAAGTTCATAAAAATGATTTTTTTGGGGCAAAGTATTCATCAGCACAAAAAATGAGCCATATTTAACATAAAAACCTCTTCCTGGTCCAAAAGAGATGACAAACTCAGAAAGTCCCCTTTGTGCCTGTAGCTTGGCTCACTTAATCTCTTATCAGTCCCTCAGGCCCAGGCCTGGTCTGATGGTCCACAGGTGGGAGCTGCCGGTGCTCTTCTGGCTGTTCAGTGCAGAACAGCTCCATAGAAAAAGGAAAAGAAAACCCCACAGCCCAGAGATCTTCTCTGCCTCAGCTACTAAAAGTTACTAAAAGCAAAGAAGAGCTCTGTCCTGCTTCCTGTCCCTGCTGGAGACAACACTGAACCGCAGCAGGAATGCAGAGGAGGACAGAGCGCAGTTTTCTGAAAACAAACTCTGTGCTTCTTCTTATGACCCCCTCATCGCTCTCAGAACCAATCCTAAATGTGCAAAATTTATTTCCTAGTGACACAGACGAAAAGGGATACGAGCATCATCAAGTCACCACAGGACACAGTGCAAGGCCTGGAGATGAGATTTCCCCACGTCGTGGGGGAACCTACGAAATTAGAGGGATAATCAGAGGGTTTTAGGGAAAGTTGCAAAAGGCAGGCTTTAGCTACAGCAGCCCATCTCGTTCGCGTCTGTAAATAGCCCCCCCTGGCCAGCGTCAGGCAGCTCTGAGCCGCCGCCACGGCTGAGCCAGGCTGGACGCGTTCCAGCTTATAGATGACTGTTATAAATGATCAATCGTGAGCCAAATTATCAAAATGTCCGAAAAGATTTATTAATCTTTCTGCGCGACCCAATTACGGACTTCGAAACCACCACAGCCAAAGAGGCAGCGTCGAGTCCGGGATCGGCCCAGGGTGAACCTGGATCCGACCTCTATGGCATCGGAATCCCCCCCCTCCTTCACGAGAACTGCCTCTTGCGGTGAGGTTTTTACACAGTTCATTGTGCCCGAGGTGAAGGAGTCCCAATTTCTTTTGTTACTCTTCACATTCATCGCTGTTTCTTTCAGTGTGCAGAGCTGGACAAAGACCAGTCTCCAGGTGGATAGTCAGCGTGGATGGGCTCCGGGAAAGCCCTGTATTCAGACCTATAATTCTGGGCCGCTGGCTATCTTGATTGATGTAATCAGCAGGGCGATGATGGCTCTTGGGCGGTTTCTTAGATCGCTCTCAGATACCGGTGATCATCGTCCTGGAAGCGTCTATTCTTACGCTAAAGCGTCGATCGTTATTTTAGCCGTGCGTCCGGGAATTCTTTGGAATCTGAATAGGCATCTGCTCTCGGGCCGTGAGTGGGCAGAGACGCATTTCGGATTTTACAATCTTAACACATACATTCTTTATTAGCATGAATTATTTCTACGATATATATCAATGACTATAGGAACTGAAACTTGAAGCCGGGAGCCGGCAGCACTACTCCCGGAGCAAGCCGCGCCTGCCGTACAGTGCCGGCCGTGCCGTGAGGGGAAGGCCCGGGCCCAGCCCCGCCTCAGGAGTTTCCCGTCTATCCCACTTCATCGCGGCCATGGCTGAGGAGGTCCTGGCTCTGCGAGAGCAGCTGTTGGCCGAGACCACCTGCCCGGTGTGCCTGGATGTGTTCGAGCAGCCCGTGGTCACGGCGTGCGGGCACAGCTTCTGCGGGCAGTGCCTG